GAGAGGGGGAACAGAGGGGGGGAAGAGAGGGGGAAGTGCGAGAGACGAGGGGGGGAGACATCACTTGATGGACAGGAGGGGGAGAGATGTGGAGAGAGCGGGGAGAGAGAGAGAGAGAGAGACAACGCCCACGCAAAACATAAAAAAAAAAAATCAAAAATAATATTAAAATTTTACAAAAATAAAAAAACGAAAAGAAATCAAAACGAGAAAAACAAAATTATTATGCACCAAAAACAAAAAAATACGAATAGCTCAAAAAGCTCGATTCTCCTCCTCCTCCCTCCAAAAAAAAAAAAAAAAAAAAACTCACCGCGTCATTAGGCCGGACGAGCTGCGCGATCATCACTCGCTTTACCCATTCGAGAAGTTGGCCAATTAAGGCCATGCCACCGACAGAAGGAGGGCCTCCACCGCCTCCTCCGCCGCCGCCACCTCTCCTCCCCTGAACAGCAACGGCCGTCGGCGGGATCGGCATTTAGACCTTTTCTTGCGACAGGTACATTTTGAAGATGCCAATACAAGGATGATACACAGGTCTCCCAGCCTCGATGCATGTGCCGCACCCTCCTTCCCTCTTCGTCGTAGTAATAGTAGTAGCAGTAGGACTATTCTCCTCCCCCCCTCCCTCCTCTTCTCTCCCTAATTCCACCTCTCCCTCGCACCTCCACCCCACAAACCAACCACTCATTCCTCTCTCTCTCTCTCTCTCTCTCTCTCTCTCTCTCTCTCTCTCTCTCTAACACCACACACACAAGAACGCAACCCCTGGGGCCCGTAGCAGACCACGTCCCTCGCTGGTTCTCGTCGGCTAGGCGCGAAGCGAACAGACGGGAGAGTACTCAAATTGGCGGGAAAATAAGCCGTGAAGTACTCAAATTGGCGGGAAAATAAGCCGTGGAGTACTCAAATTGGCGGGAAAATAAGACGGCCGACGTCGACAGCAGGCCACCGCTGTTTTCTTCTTCCGACTTCGTGTTCCTCCTCCCGCTCATCTTGTGACAATTAATTTAAACCCGCAAGGCTGTCCCAATCAATCAATCAATCAATCAATAAATCACTCAACCAATCAATCAATGACTAAATCAGTCGACCAAACAATCCATCCATCCAGCAATCAACCAATCAACCAATCCATCAACCAATCCATCAACCAACCAATCAATTCATGCATCAATCAATCGATCAATCAATCAATCAATTCATGCATCAATCAATCAATCAATCAACCCATCAATCAATCAATCAATCAATCAATTGACATTGGCGGCATGAGCTCCATGTTCCGGTTTCATCTAAAGCGCGCCAAATTCAATGAATGCACCGTCTGATACAAGTCTCCATGAATCTTCCGATGACCATGATCAGGGTGCGAGTAAAAAATGAATAAAATAAAATAAATAAATAAATAAAAAGGGCGCAGATTGGAGTCAAATTAACGACCGAGTCGCAATTATGATGTGACCCTTTTTTTGTCTTTCAATACTATTACGCTATTATTTATGATTTGAACCTAATTTTATTCATTTTTAGTGATTTGTAAAATGATAACAAAAAACTAATACTAGTAATAATAACAATTCGAAAATCAACAACTCCCACTCGCCCGCTCTTCCGAAGGCGATGAATTCCATCATTTCCCGCGTTTTCCCATTTCCCGCGCGTTTTCCCATTTCCCGCGCGCTTTCCGTTTTCCCGCCCTCCGCGCATATCCGGTGCACAGAACGCGCGCGAGCAGCGGAAGATAGAACTGAGCGGGACACAGGAAAACGCACACGCGCATAGGGGGCCATGGGTGAGCGAGAGAGAGAGAGAGAGACAAAGAGGGAGAGGGAGAGGGAGAGAGAGAGAGAGAGACAGAGAGAGTGAGAGAGAGAGAGGTATGAGGTGACAATGAGAACAGCTAAGAGAGAGAGAGAGAAAGGAGGAGATCTTGGGGGAAGAGAAAAGACTAGGCCACGGAGAGAGAGAGAGAGATGAGAAAGAGAAACACAATGCAATAGAATGGAGCATCTATTAATTCGAAAAGAAATTAAAAAAAAAAAGAAACACGTCCGCTCGTTGCCAGAGGAATAAGGACAGAAAAGACGAGAGACACCGCAAGGAGCACGTCTGAAATGAGGATGGGGGCGGAGGGGGAGGAAGAGAGAGAGAGAGAGAGAGAGAGAGAGAGAGAGAGTAACAAGGAGGAGCCGGGGGGGAAGAAGAGAGAGAAAAGACAACGAACATCCGGAGTACTGATCAAAGTGTGATATGAGGATGGGGGAAGAGGGGAAGGAAGAGAGACAGAAAAAGAGAGAGAGAGAGAGAGAGAGAGAGAGTAGCAAGGAGACCCCGGGAGAAGAAGAGGGAGAAACTTCCGAGAAAGGACAATGAACATTCAGAGTACTGATCCACTACACCTGGACACGTGGTACAACGACAGGCGAAGAAGGGGGGGGGG